AAAACCAATAACTAGGTCTCTCTATAGAAGTAATGATTCTAAAATCTTTTGAGTTATCTGACAGCCTGATAATGTCTTAAGGGTAACAAAATTATTGATAAAGTTTGTAGAGAAAATATTTTCATTAGTGATCTTGAAAAAAAGTTTTCTATTTTTTCCAAAAAGATTTAGGTGAGACAATGGGATTGAATATGATTTAGGTAGCAACCTGTTATAAGAGGAGAGTGTTTATGGGTAAAGATCTGTACTAAAGCTAAAAAATACTTTTAAATGTTGAATGGTTTGGATGTTTTAGAGTTTTTAGATTTATTGGATTGACATGAACTCATAACAATGATCATTTTCTGAATAGTCATTTGTATTTGAGTATGAGCTATCATTATCATATTTGCTTGATCATAAATAATGAGTTAGAATATTGTTCATTATCAAGCGAGAAGATTGATTCAAGGTTATCATATGAAAGATTAATAATATAGATATTAGCAATATCTTGTATCATTTTTACTAACTTTTTATCTGACTTGAGGTAATTTTTACAAAATGTCCCAGTTTACCACAAAGAAAACATTTGTTTCCTTTCTTCTTTGGGTCTTTTTTTTTTTTTTTAGCAAATTTGAATTTTTAAAATCTTTTAGGCTTTTTTGTAGCTTTGAATAGTTTTTTCTGTTTGGAAAAATGAGAGCTTTTAAGGGGTTTAATCTTTTTAAAGTGTTTTTTTTCTTGTGACTGCAAAGACATGAGGAATTTTTAGAAGAGCATTTAATCTGTAGACTTGTTGAGAAATAAAACATGGTCTATCTATCTTTCTAAAGTTGTTTCACCAAATTGTAATGTATTTATGTTTTTTGCAAACTTACCAAGAGTTCTTATCATCATTGTATAGATATCGCCAAGATTCATAATTCTTATATCAATAGATCTAAAGTTCAATTAAGTTTTGGTTTATTGAGCAAGTTTTTTTAAAACAGAATTGAGAAAAATTTACTTCAAATTGACATATCAAATCCATAAAAAATGTAAAAATATTGAGAAAACTATTGGTAGTGTCTATGAAGATCTTTTGAATGAAGCGAATAGTATTTTAGCTTAAAAATTATTCTTTAATCTTTTTCAATATAAGCATATTGGCCACAAAATATTACTAAAAATTGAGGTACCATTTTTGTGATTGTTAGGTATTGGAGAAATTATAACTGTATATATTCACCAATATTGTCCCAAAAATTCTTGAAGATTCTAACCAGGCTTGAGATAAATCTCAATAAAATTGTATTCATCGTAACATTAGGATTAAAGTTTAATTCAATAAGTCCTAATGCTATGCACTCTTGAAATCTTGAAGGCTATTTGAAAAGAAGAATATCATCAATTGTGAATACTAAGAACTTTGATGTGGAAAGAGCATGTGTTTGGGAAGAAGGCTGTTATTGTTTAACATTTATTGCTTCAGGGTTGTGCATTTCTAGGTTATCTCTGAAACTTCAACTGTTGGTTTTGTTATGAAAATCTGTGGAAGTGTTTCATCTGAATTATCTAAGTTGTTTGACTCATTACTTTCCAATTGAGATTCTATTTCATATTTAATGGGAAAAATATCTTTAATGAAAGATTGAAGGAGGTTCTCTTATGTCATTTGTTGGAGCATTTTTGGAAAAACATTGGGATTGGGAGAAATCATTATGTATTGGAGGTTTTGAAGCATGAAAGGTACTTTCAGGGGTATGTTTTAGATTAGGGTTTGTACTTGTGCTTGGTTTTGGTTTTTGAGGTTATAGAAGTGGTTGTTCTACAATTCTTTTAGGTTTTTGGTCAACTGACTATTTTTCTCTAAATTTGTGAATCTACTTTTTAGTTATGCCAAAAAGATGTTGGTTTAAGAGGGAGTTTGGAATAGTTGTTCTAATATTGGTGTGAAGAATTATCTTGGTTATGAAGGTAATGATGTAGGGGGAGGTTTTACTACAATGATGTGAAAAAAATTTTTGGAGGTAAAGGTAAGGTGTAAAGTTGATATTGAGGAAGAGCATAAGCTTGGTAAGGGATATCATGAATTTTAGTGTTGATGAGAGTAAAGATGTTGGTTGGCGATTGTTGTATTGTTTCTTACGGTATTGATTTTGAAGATCTGTAAGTTGAATATTGAGGCTTTTTATTTATTTATTTTTTGAAAAAGTATAAGTGTAACCAGTATTGGTTTCTACCATGTATCCGAGTTCTCGATTTAGAACTAGTATTTTTATCTTAATGTCAAGAATAATATTTTGAAGATTGATGAGACTTTGATCAAAATGTTAGCTCACTTGATCTAGCTTGTTCTTTATCTTGTACTAGAATGCATTCTATTGGATAGAGTTATCTGTCTGCCAGTTCAAAATTGCTTTTGCTCGAGAAATTTTTTTGGTTTCCATACTTATCTCTGTCATTGGGATTTAGGATTTTTGGAATGTGTTTGTATTTGTCTTTGTGGAATTCTTAAAAGGAGAAAAATTTGAGTCATAAGAGGACTAACTTGGTTGCATTATACACATATGAGGTAAAAGTTCTTTTGGTTTTGGGTTTTCAAGTGTTTTGGGTTTACAAGTTCTTTTAGGGAAGTCTGATTTTTTGTGTTTGGCATAAATGAAATAATAGTCAAACTTTTCTGAAGGTTCATCAAGAAGATCAACTTTAGGGTCTCTTTTTTCATATTTTTCTTTTAGCTTCTATTGTGAAGACTTTGTTTTGGCTTTTTTTGAAAATCATCATCATCATCAAGAAGCTTTTGCAGTTATATTTTTTATAGCTTTTGCATTTACAATCAATGTCCTAATAGCAATGTTTTTTTAAAGATCTGTATGCATATATAGGTTTTTCATTAGGTTTGATGTGTGTAACTAGTACATTTGGTTCAACTTAACATGGTTGCATCATGAATCATGTAAGAAAAATAGTTGGGATAGGAATTTCTTTTCCTTTGTTATGATCAAACTCAATTATCACAGTACCATCTAGGTTTGTTTTGTAGGAAGAATCAAAGAGTTGAATTGGTTCATCTTGCTTCCAAATATTTTGATAACTTGTTGTTTACAACTTAGGAAATAGAACAGCAAGTTCTTCATTCGAGATATGCTTTAAAATATGAACATATCTACGAATCTTGTCTGCAGCTTCTAGCTTTACAAATGCAGCATCACCAGAGTTAGGCAAGGATAGGTTTATGGCATAATCTTGAATTTTGTATGCCATATGATAATGAAGGATTGCCTGAAATCCTCTTATCTTAGTTTTTACTATTTGTATTTGAACTTTAAAGCATCTAATAGTATTGGATCATGTAGAGATATGTTGTAGTTTGAAAAAATTGTAAAGAAGATAGTTCTCGCATTTAATGTTGTCTTAACTATGCCAAGTACTACATATTGGTAGTCTTTGAATCTTGTATCCAATAAAACCATCCTGACACAACCAAGAATATCATTTATATCATAAAAGTTTAATGCAATTCTGATAGCATCGAAGTGGATGTGAGTATATCTTTGGTCTAGCCATTGTTATGAAAATTTTAAAAGAATTTAAAGAGTAACAAAGTACTATTCAGATCCAGTAGGAAGAATACACTAATAAAACTTTGAGACTTGAACATACTCTTTTAGAACTTAGTATATTGGTTTTAAAAGGTTTTTTATGGATATATAAAAGGAAGAAGAAGTTTTGGAAAAAACAATATAGGGATTTATAAGGAGATGATCTGTTTCTTGGATTTTTTTGTTTTTTGGAACATAATTAATTTTATATAAGAAATTTAACTTATAAGAGGAAAACTTTCTAATTATAGGAGAAGAAGAAGAAGGTTAACTAAGTGAAGATCTAGAGGTTGAAAATTACGAACTACTAACTTTTGATAAATCCATGATAAAGAAAATTGTTTTGGCTTATCCTATCCAATTCAGTGTTAGAATTAGAACAAAAATAGATTTCTATATAGAGTTGAGCTCTATAACCAAGTAGATGAGAGCAACAACTCTTAGACTCTGATACCAAATAGATGAGGATTGATTACCTGCGTCAAAGTAATACCAAACATAAATAATTTATAATTTAGATATATATATGTGTGTGTGTGTAAGGTGTTTTAATATGCCTTATAATAAATAAAGAACATAGTCCAACAATAAACAAGTCCACAAGAAATAAATCCAAGGCCAATTCCAATTCGTTTTAGTCTGTAACAATGTTCCTTCCATGAAAATGATCCTTATCTTCAAGGATCAATTGCATGAAACTAGTGCTGCTTATCAAACATAATTTCCAAGTTGAACCTTTTACCTTGCCTCCCTAATAAACCTCTTCTGAGGCTCTAATTACTTGGTTTATCATGGTCATTACAATTATTGGACTTGTTAGCCAGGAAGTTCTAAAATCTGCAATGCTACACAACAGTAAGCATAATATAAAATATACATAAATATATTTGAAAATTTTAAATTTCAATTAAGAAAATATTTTTAAGAGTAAAAATACAGGTAAAAATATGAAAAAAAATTATATTAAAATAAAATTTTATTATTACATATAAAATTTATTATTATATATATTATGTGCAATAACACTTAAAATTTGTATTTAAATAATTTTATAAAAATATTATATGAATAATTTACATATTAAATAATAAAAATTTAAATAAATCATTTATTTATTTATTAGTTATAAATGTCACCTATCATCCACTTATTATTAAAAATATATAATTAAAAATTTTATTAAATAATCTTACATTCCTCTAATTAAATATAAAAATTATATATTTTCTAAGATCAATAAACCGAAAAATTAAACAATTCCCTTTTACTATCACTTGTTAAAATCACTTTTTCTCACTAAATCTGAAAATCTACTGAACGTTCCTTACGCAAAATAGAATTTTTACTGTTCAGTGCAGTAATAGTGAAGAGCCGCACTGCACCACATCCAAATGAATCCTTAGACCCTAAAACAGCATTGGCAAAGTCAAGCGCCATATGACGAGTCTAGTGCGGTGGGGAGTCGCACTGTACACTTTCAGATTAACCCTAAAACTTTCATACATGAGGCTCAACTATTGAGAACTTAATCCGTTTGGGCCATTCATCTAGGGCCGAAGCTCCGCTCGGTTTTGGGGTAGGCTTGGACTAAAGATTTAAAACCCAAAACTATAGCATGTGGCATCTGCATCCCCCCTCAAAAGTCTGATGGGAGAAACCAAGCGGAGGCATATAGTTAAGTTGTGTAAAATACATACACTGAAGTAAAGACAAAAATGGAAGGGAAAGGATTGGAAGGAGATGGGTCAAACAGAGAAGCCCTGGGGAAGTGCTTGAGTGGGTTCGTGGATGACGGTAGCACGGAGAGTCACCGATACTATTTGTCACGGAGAACCGTGCTGGAGATGCTAAGGGACAGAGGCTATGCCGTACCCAACTCTGAAATCAACCTCTCCCTTCAAGAATTTCGAGCCATCTATGGCCAAAGCCCTGATTTTGATCGTTTCAGACTCTCTGTTACTCATAAAACTGACTCTTCCAAGCGGGTAATGCTTTTTTTTTTTTTTTTTTGGCTTTTTTCCGGGCTTTGCTTTAGGTTTGGGTTGTTGTTTCCTCCTGTTTTATATTTTTCATGAGAATTATTGTGATACATTGCAGGATTAGATAAGTATTCACTAATAACTAATTGCATGTCCCTTATTCAATATAATATTCTTCTCCAAAAGTTTGAGTTTAGATGATTAATCATTTTTAAACCCTATCATATTTGTTTTCTGAATAAATTGGTTTTAATTTGGTCTAAGTCATTAATACCCTGGCAGCAGTTACATATAATGCAACCTGACTTTGGCAACTGTTAGTTTTAGTTTATGTTTCCTAAACTTTTCTTACAATGGCCGAGCCAGGATTTCTATGTAGGGTCAAATCAAATATATGTACACATGTGAATGCCAACACACATACGTGCGAGCGCATGCACACACACGCGTATATATATATATATATATATATATATATATATATATGCGAGTAATTTATTTATTTAAGTACATAAAATGAGAGAAAAAAGAATATGATTAAAATTCTCAAATATATATTTGAAACATATACTAAGAGTTTTTGTCTTAGTTATATTTTATATGAAAATTATCATAAAGTTTTTGTGACATAAAATTGTCACAAAATTAAAATTAGTAACTTATTAAAATACAAGAAATTAAATTAAACCATCCTCTTTATATTTTTATTGAATTATAAGAATCACTAAGGAAACAATACTAATCCAACATTATTATGTTATAACAAAATATGTAAGAACTAAATAATTAGGACCAATATAGAAGTGTTTGTTTTTACCAATTCATCTTATTGGTATTTGTTATTCTTTATTTATTTATTTTTACCAATTGAAATTGAGTCTTTTTTTTTTTTTTTTTTTAATCAATTGAAATTACCCAGTGAAATCATCTTTTTCAGATAATACCATGTGTTTTTTTTTTTTTTTAAACTTTTTTATAAGGCAAACCAACTAAATAGATTTTTTTTTTCTTTTGAAACTTATGAAGTTTATAATAAAAAGGTTATAAAAAATTAAAAATCAAAACTGATAAAACTCAATAGGTGGAACAATGATATGTAAATTGTTAAATTTTCAAAAATTACATGTAGATGGTATATTCAATAAGCTCTTGCTTAAATTGTAGTATTAGTTTTGATTTTTAGTTTTAGTTTTCATGATATATAAACTGCTTTTACTTGCAAACTTCACAAAATTTACTTAAAATTTATAAACCTTGCCATTTATTTGGTATTCAAGTATTTACACTATTTAAAAATACTATGAGTAAATTATTTTGTAGAAAGAAATCTTCACACTTTACAAATATATTCAATTATACTAATTGTTTTATTTAGAGAAGATAGTTTTAATTTTTATTCAAACTTGAAAAAAATTACGCTTAAAATTTTAAAAAGATTTAATAAGTTAGACACTCACAAATAAAAATTGAAGACAGTTATATTACTTTGAGGGGGCCATTCATTTATTTTGAGAGATATATTTAAAAAATTAATGCATAACACTGCATAACTTTCAAAATTCCCTCCTCAAGTTCCTATGTGGCTTTGCCCTTGCTTATGGAGTATTCTAATTTGTTAGAATCAGTGATAATCTCTCTCTCTCTCCCCACCTATAAATTGTTTTTGCTGAAGTTGTAAGTTTTCAGTAAAAGATAGGCATAGCATGTCTCACAGCTAGAGTTCTGAGTGGAAGCTTGTGGAATAAACTCCTCTGAATTGTTATACTGTTCAACTCCTATGTTGGTAGCCACTATCATGTGTTTCCTAGAGAAGAACACTACGGTTTGAGTTTAAGATATATGGCCAACCCCCTACTTAAGCTCACCCCAGTTAGCGGTGCTCCATATAATTCTTTGTGAAATCTGCACTGATCTTCCTCTTATTGTATTGAGGGTGCAGTCTTCTGTTGGTGTCCGGCACCAAGGACTATATGTCGTCATGTTTGGTAATACTATAGTTGATATAGATTGGGCTATTGTAACTAGGATGATTAGCTTTCATCCACCCAGGTTGAAGTGCGGTGTTAATAATTATGCCCTGTACTTCCACAATATCAAAATTGGTTGCATGAGGCAGGAAACTTCTTTGATTTAGTATGAGATTGAAGAAATTTGTCTTTGTGGACAAATCAGTTTTTTTTTTAATGACATCAATATCTCGTTTGATGATAATGGCAGCACCTGGAAGCATTTATTTAGTTTGCTATTCATTTAAAGTATTGCTTGAAGTTTTGAGGTTTATGAAATTTGAGCATAGCTCTGATACTTATGTAGATTAACTGATAATGAAGCTGAAGTATCAAACATTGTGTGTTATTTCTGCTTCAAAAACATTGATAAATTAAGGCTGAATTAGTATCTTTATTTTTAATGATGTACTAATTTTTTCCTTGTTAATTGCTCTTAGTCTTGTCTCGAGAAGTGATTCTTTATTCTTTAATGTGATCTGCATCCTAATGAATGAACTTTTTCCTAGCAGATGCTGGTAGTTTTCTATGGGCCTGGTACAGTTAAAGTTAGTGGGATTCGGCTCATTGCTGGTCTAATTACTAACAAAGAAAGCTTGACTGGGTTGATATTAGTCTTGCAAAACCACATAACAAACCAAGCTTTGAAAGCTCTGGACCTCTTCTCATTTAAAGTGGAGATATTCCAGGTAAAATTTTTAATACGAGTCAGGTCTGTGTTATTTCCATTGACACTGGTTCTGTAAATTCAATCTGATACAAGAAAATATTATGTTACTTGAAAACTTTGGCCTCTAGGCTTTTCATGTCCTGAATTTTGCTGTTCTTGTGTCCACTCCATATTGTACAGATACCTCATGCCATAGCCTGTCTTTCATACATTTACATCTATTCATTTCTTAATAAACTAATGCTTCTCTCCCTCTTTGGGATGTGTGTGTGTGTGTTTGGTTCATATTATTTTCTATTATCTTTTCTAACACCAGTTTGCTATGATAAAGGCAGAAAAACCGTGACTTTGTGGTTCTGTTGAGATTAGCATATGAAGGATGAAAATGCTAATCGGTGTACTGCATTTGGTTTATTTTTGTGCTCATTTGAATGATTCAATTTTTTAATATTTTGAAATGATTTAAATGTTTTTTTAATAGTTTCTGAAGTGAAGATGCCACACCCTAATTGAATTGCTTGCACATATTTCCCTCTAGATTATATCTCGAGAAATAGCCATAGGGATGCAAGGCACATGCATTTTGGTATAACATGAAGCTCGGCAATCATTTCTTCGTGTGTTTTGTACTAATCAAAATTACAATGTTATTTTGCACTGCAAATACTAGTCATATGTAATAAGTCATCTAGTTTATTGTTATCAACTATGTGAAGCTTAAAAAATGTACTACAGTCTGCTAGTTTCAACTGACCAAATATTTCCTGTGCCAATTCTATCAAGTTTAGGGAATTTTGCTGAGGTTAATTCATCCCTATAAGATTTTTAAGTTTCTTTCCTAGATGAGTACTGTGACATTGTGTTTTCATATCTGAAAGTGTTAACTTTTTTTTTTTGGTGGGGGGGGGGTGGAGAAATCTATTTATAGCACTAGTCTCATTGGCCACTTATAACTTTTATGAGTCTATAAGAATGGATTAGTAATTCTCATCCTCGTTCCATCTTATAATAGTATGCATTTCTTGTTAATTGTCAGATGGATTAGTTAATTTTGAAACGGACATTACGTGGCATTTTACATTAAGTAAAGAAATTGGTTCTTTACATCCATTATGATTTAATGTAGAAAGTGTGGATGTGGAATCCTTTTTGTCTCCTCATCTAATATGCAACTTGTTCAAACTATCTTGTACCCCTAATATCTCCCTTTGTATTTCATGGTCCTCAGATCACTGACTTGCTTGTTAATATTACGAAGCATGTGTTAAAGCCCAAGCATCAGGTATTGACAGAACATGAGAAACAAAGGCTCTTGCAGAAGTATAGTATAGAAGAGAAACAGGTTAGTCTTAAAACATTAAAAGCTTTGGTTGAATAATACCATACGTGTGAACGTTAGCATTCAGATTGAAAAGCATATGGTTGTCCATCAGGACATTCAATGCTCTAAAAAGATGTGCATATGCATATATTTGATGTTTGTTATGAAGATTTAAACCTCTACCAAATTTCAGGGTAGCTGCATGACAAAAAAAAAATTGCATCGTTATTTTATGTCTATATGTGTATTTTATATATATAATTTTTAGGCTTTTATTGGTTAAAGTCACTAATTGCTGGCATCTTATTCGAATTTATATTTGTCGGTAGCTTCCTCGACTGTTAAAGAAAGATGCCATTGCAAGATATTATGGTTTTGAAAAGGGTCAAGTAGTGAAAGTTACCTATGGTGGTGAAATCACTGAGTCACATGTCACTTACCGATGCGTCTGGTGATGCCGCAACGCAATGTACTGTTGTTTCTTGCTGTGGAATATTGCAGGTGTAGTTTTAAGCTTTTCCCAAATCATCTTTTGGGGTTGCATCGTGTGACTTCTGTTGCTCCTAATGAACACTGGTTGAGTTGCTTGTTTTAATGCCTTATTTTATTAAGAGAAGTCAATGGCTTTAATTGCAATATCTGCAAGACTGCAACAGATTTATCATCCCTGCAAACTTTGACAAAATGGCATAGAGAAAAATTACAACCTCTTTCTGGAAGCAAGCATCTGATACATGGCATTGTTTCCAGTCCATTTTGTTCTTATGAAGTAAACAGAAGATGAAAAAGTTCTGGGCAGATTTCCCAATACGCCATTGCCATGAGTGCCATCACACTTTTCCATCTGGGCCTAAACTTTAAAATGCATTGAACGATTATCAACATATAATAATTTGAATAATTACAGTTTAATATGGTTCATACTAAATACATACTTTTAATATATTTTCACAGATGGCAAATTCAGGCATTTATCCCTAGATAGAAAACTGCAAAATTCTAACAATTAAACAAATTTTTTGCACAAAAATAAAAACAAATCCTTTTACAAGATGGTCATAGAATAGAATAGTGTCTTTGTCATATGTATCAAGGGAATTCTCATTTTTACGCCAAAAACGATCAAAATGTAATTTTAAAGATGGGACAAGAATAGATGTAATTTTAAATTTTTTATCAGGTAAATAACATAACACCCATTTAGTAACTATACTTTACATATATTTTCTGTATTTAATAAATTAATTTTTTATTTAATAATATAAAATTTTATTTTAAATTTAATAAAACTAATATATTTGTATTTAAAAAATACATATTTATAAAAAAAATATTTAAATGTGCCATAAAAAATAAAAAAATAAAAAAAATTTTATTAAAAAAAAAACTACAAATTCGGAAACTATCTACTCATTAAATACCTATGAAGAACAAGATAGGGATGAATTTGAAATACCATTGAGTATAGGTACAAGATGAGTATTATATAAAAGAGGTACAGGATGAATATAATATAAAAAACTAAGAATGAGAATAAAGAATATTTTATTCATCTCATACCCTATCTATTGATATCCCTGCTCATAACAGTTATTCATAAATCCAATAGATGCTAAAAACTTTGCTTTTGTCACTTATTCAAAACATTTCTTCAGCAAAATCAGCAAAATGCTTGGGGGCCAAATCTTGAGGGTGGGAGCAATATTCACAAACGCACAATTTTGGTTGATCATTTCTTGCGAGCCAATGCTGCGGCAATTCCACCAGCAATAAGTCCCACAGCAGTAGCAGTAATGCCAATTCCAATAATACCATCTGCACGAAAACCATATATTCATAAGCCATTCAGTCTATGCTACAATTAATTTTAGCATCAGTAAGACAATTCTGGTTATAACCTTTAGCAATACGATCCTCAACTGCCTTCTTAAGGGCAAGAGCTTGCCTCCAATCAGGCGCAATCTACAAAACCAGTAGTTTCATAAAGCAAGAAAACAAAAGAAATCACTCAAAACAAACATTTTTATCAAGCAAACGTGTTTGGAATGTGCACCACACAATGTGGGGTTGGAATAATAGAAACAAAATTAAAAGTTCTAACAGAGAGAAGACACAGGCCCATAATTTCATGTCGTGCAAGTCAAACCATAGTGTTTAAATAAAGGTTTAAAGGTAACCACAGCAGAATTTAGATCACTAACCCAGAGAAAATGCAAAATGAATTAAACACACAACAACACACACTCCATAGCTAGCATAGCCCAGTAAAAAAAATCCCATGCATTAAAGCTAGGAGTTGAGTCAAATGATTAATAAGTCAAATTAATCTTGACATATATGTAGGAAAATTATATGGTAAAATAAATGGACTTTCATAGAGGAAGAAATGGGTAGGTAAATGCAATCATTTCTAAGCATTAAGATGATAGAATGAACACCTTTAGGCCAAACATTTTACACTGAGTTTCTTAACCTTTAAATATAATTTATCTGTATGCAATTAAAAATTAGATTTAGTTTTAAATGTTATGCTTGGCAATTTTCATGTTTGATGAGTACCTCAGAATGTTACATTCATAATTTAAACAATCAATTTAATGTTGGTAGACGAAAACTATCTAATTAGGTACTAAACCAATTCATTGATTGGCTAAAGATAGGCATCGCTATTAATATTAACAATTTCCACTGATAACAACAGTTAACAAATCATCCTCTTGCCATTACCTACCTCTATCCTTCACACAACTGTCCTTCATTACCTTGTTTCTCTTCTTTTAGACGGACAATTAGTATTGACTGTGCATGGGCTAAGTCTAGAACATTCAGACGAAGTGAGATGCACAACCCCCAAGAATCTATTTTTAAATAGAAAAGGGCTAAGGAAACACAGACAAACCTCCAAACACCGCTCCACAAGTTGTCGACTCCTTGTGTATTCACCAGTTCTGTAATACCCAACAGCTAGAAGATAAAGTTTCTCTCTTTGCTGCAATTCGGAGCTACTATTGGCCAATGATGCTGCAAAGACAAAAGTTTTTGAATTTAAGCTGTGCCCATAACATTATAAATAAAGCTATAGACCGAAAGCAACACATCAATAACAAGAAGGTAATAAGGAGTAAGAATTTATTCAAATAACAGAATGGCTCAAAAAAGGGAAATTGGGAAGGACCGTAAGTGGAGCTAATCTGGTGGTGACAGAGGAAGAACCTTAGTCTTGTACCGAAAAGTTTAATGCCTCAATTGCTCAGAGAAGGGGTAAATCCAGATACATTGCATAGAAGTTATTAGACAGATGCATTACCAGCAGTGATGGAAATGCTAAACAAGCATTTTGAAGACAATTAGCATGACTATGACCCACAATTAGGAATACAAAGTAAAATCAGGCTTAGAGAAAAGGCATAGCCAAGGCAAGGGTATCGCTGCAATAGGTTAAATTACTTAAAACAGTTAAAGACCTCCATTACAGGTAAGAATACAAGTAGCGAAAGCAATTAGAAGGAAAAAAGAAAGTAAAGTATGCACACAGAGAAACCACCGATGAAACTAGAATAAAGTTACCAACATGAGTGTTATTTGACAAATATTTGCATTGACAATATTGGGTCACTATTACTTTATTACAATTACAAACAGGACCAGCAGGTAGAAACAAAACACATTCTATGAAAACATAACAAAAATTAACATGTGAATCAACATAAAAAACTCATAAGACAGGGATGATGGCATAAATAACTGACCTTCAAGCATGGCTATCCCACGCTGCGTATCTTCAGCTTGCCTCGAGTGAACAAGTGCCCATGAAAGTCGCATGATGCTTTCACTCTTCAGTTCCTCAGAATCACCCTTCATAGCATCAGCAGCTTCTCTCTCACAGCCCTTCCACCAATGCCACAGTCAAAACAAAATGCCAAAATAATAAAGGGAAGCGAATGCGTAACCACAAAATACCCAAAGCCCAGTATAACAAGACAACACCATAAATATATAATATTTTCCATCCTCTTTATTCAAATTCCATAAATTTCAAGCATTTAGACAATTAGAAATGCTTGATAAATTCAGAAAATTTCTAATAATCTATAATAATAATATATACCTCAAGAAGCCTTAAACCCTTTCAATTTTTTTTTTTCTCTTATAAACTATAGATAAACAAAATATCAAACCCCAAATGGTAGACTTCACAGATCAATGAGCTATCAAAAGCATACTATTACTGCTAATCCAATTTGAATTGGATAAAATTTCAGAGAATAAACGGAAAACTTGAATGTATACATACAGCAATGACGTCGCGGTCGCACCAGGGGATCTGATCGCCACCACCGAAGAAGGACCCCACCGATTCGAAGAATTTCCCTATCTTCTCCTCCATTTTTCAATTATCAGTCACTGCTCTATCAACAAATTATAACGGGGCTTTTAGCTTGACATTTACGGCGTTTTCTCCTCTCAGGTTTAGTTTTATTTTTTGAATTCTAATTTTATTTTATAGGTTTTTGGGGCCTTCGTTGTTAAGAGCGAGAGAAGGCTGTACGGAACTGTGCAAATGAATCCATTTGGGCAGAACTTAAGGAATAAGAAATTGGCTTTTTTCAGGATTAGTCGTGAAATATTTTAAGATTTCTCTTTCAAATTTACAAGAAATTGGCCCAAAACAACGTTACACAAAGCAGGTTGCCCGTGTGGCCCAAGGACTTGACTCAAGTCCAGCTTTAGAGACAAATTTTTTAAGTTGAAATTATTTTATTAATAAATAATTTTTTTATATAAATTTTTTTTTTTGTATCTTAAAATATTTTTAACATATTTTAATAATATTTATAATTTAAATGAAAAATTTTGGATGGATTGAACTCGGATTTGCGACTTAAAGAGGTCTACCAACCCAGCTTGTTGTAATTCATTGATATTTTTATTGATCAAATTATGTAACTTTTTTTTCATTTCTCTTAATATATATTTTTTATTTTTAAAATAATAATAAGAAGTTTAATTTATACACAAAATCTTACAAAAACATAAAAATTAATGAAAAATATTTATATATAATATTTAAGATATCTAATTAAGTTTTTTGCTTGGCTACTTATGCTACATTGAGAGCGTATTATTTTTTTTTATTTTTAAAAGCATAAATTATTTGATATGATTTTTGTAATTTATTATAAAACATAACTTTTTATAAAAACTTTTAGAATGAAAGAAAAAAAGTAAGAAAAATTCAACAATAATAAAGTATTAGAAAAATACATATGTGTTGCTGCGAGATAAATTTTTTTGTTTTACCATTTCAATTCATCATTTTGTAATAAAGTATTAGAAAAATACATGTGTTGCTGCAAGTTAAATTTTTTTGTTTTATCATTTTAATTCGTCATTTTTTTATAAAATTTATCTAATTAAAAAAATTAAAAAAAGATGGTACATGGATATCTTAATTGGCTTCATTCTCTCATAAAATTTATTTAAAAAAAATTAAAAAATAAAAAAAATAAAAACAAAAAAGAAACAGAAAAAATGAGCTCATAACGTGTGCCACATTGACACCCCTATTAAGTTTAAAACATTATTTCTTAAAAAAAAAAAAATTTTATTAATATAATATGTATATGTATAAAATTAAAAAAATAGTAAAATGTATATTTTTATATTTATCTTAAAATGGATTGGGACAAAGTAACATAAACACACTTTTGACACAATCTCATTTCTTTAAAAAAAAAAAAAAGTCAACACTTATCAACTCAATTTTGATTTTAAAAAATTGCCCCTTAATTTATATAATTGATGGATGAAAAGATTAAATCTTAATTATATATAAATAAAGTATTTTTA